TTCGTTTAATGTCCCGGGAAGTGCTGTGTTTTGAGGCCACTTTTTGAAAGTCACACTAGGTATGGCCCAAGATAATCTGAAGCACATTGTGAGGGTTAATTTTCTGTGTCAGCCTGGCTGGGCCGTGGTGCCCAAGTACCTGGTCAAACATTTTTTTGAATGTTCTGTGAAGGTGTTTTTTTGGATAAGATTAACATTTAAATCATTTAACATTTAGCGGACTTCGAGTAAAGATTTCCCTGCTTTTTGTGGTGGGCCTTACCGAATCAGTTAAAGGCCTTAATGAAAAAAGACTGACCGTATGAAAAGAAGAAACTCTGCCCGCTGTTAGACTCAACCTGCGATGTCAACTCTTGCTGGGCCTCCAGCCTACCATCCTGCTGCAGATTTTGTAGTTACCAAGCCTCACAATCATGGGAGTCGTATCCTTGAGATCACTAGCTGTATGCACACACATCCTGATGGTTCTGTTTCCCCGGACAGCCCTAACACATACATTGCCTTGTTTGGTTTTAAATGTAGTTCTGTTTCCTCAGCCCAAAATGAGAACATGGGTTAAAAGTCATTAAAAAGCAACATGTTTTTTAAAAAACAACACATTAAAAATATGTTTTGGGTGTTAGGACTCTGAAGCACCAACCAATAACACTCATCACATCTCCTTTGCCTTCCTGCAGCTCATAGATGTTCCCTAAGCAGAGGCCCAGGACCCTGGGGAGAGGGCAAGACCCTGGAGCTGCCGATGACATCCTCGTGTTGAGCTGAAGGATCCGTGTTTTGCCAGCACCCGAGGTGATCACTCACTGAGGGCAGAGTTGGCTGAGCGTCGGCATGTCCAGCTTCTGTCTTTGGCCTGTGCTTGTCCTGAGAAGTAGGCAGAAGGCAGCAGATGGGCATGGTGTTCAACTCATCTCACAAGTGTCTAAGGAGAGGACCTCAGAATGAGGAGGGATGGCAGGTACATCAGTTGGAAGAAGGGCACGGTTATACCTGGATGCAGAGGGCCTCCCTGAAAAGACACATCAACGGGATGACAAAGTGCCCTAAAAATACCTCCTGGACCAGGGCGTCGAGAAGATGCTGGAGATGTGGACAGTGTGTGCGCCATCTTGTGAGGTTTTAAAACGTGCTCCCTTCAGCCCAGGGAAGCCTGAGGACCAGAGGTGACCTTCACTAGCTGACTTTCCCCTTTTTGCCTGGCACCAACTTTAATACTCAAGGAAGCTATTAGAAAGATTAGAGCTCTTAGCACTTCCATTTGGGGCATTTTTCAAGTAGCTAAGGGGAATGATAATTCATTTACTTTATTTTGTTTTTAAATTACTGATAGTTTAGGGCGCCTGGGTGGCTCAGTCGGTTAAGCGACTGCCTTCGGCTCAGGTCATGATCCTGGAGTCCTGGGATCGAGTCCCACATCGGGCTCCCTGCTCAGCGAGGAGTCTGCTTCTCCCTCTGACCCTCTTCCCTCTCGTGCTCTCTATCTCTCATTCTCTCTCTCAAATGAATAAAATCTTTAAAAATAAATAAATAAATAAATAAATAAATTACTGATAGTTTAGAAAAGGTCGGGAAAATCTGGCAAAATAAAATGAAGTCGTGAGTGGAAAAGCATGTGGTGACAGTGGATGCAGTAAGACCTGAATTTTAAAGCACCGTCTCACGCTCAGTTGTGCACACATAGTCATAGACATCCCTTTACGAGTGGCGAGATCCCAGAGATTGTTTGTTTCTTCTTATCTGCTCATGTGAAATTTCTTCAGTGAAATGTATTAATTTGTAAAAGGAAAAATTTACAACTTTCTAAAAGGTAAAAGCTAAAGTAATTTACAGAAGCTTGAAGCATTTATGTTTCATCATGCTCAGGGTTAGAAAGGACTTCACCTAAAATGGAATATATTATGCATAAACACGTAAACAACCACTTCTGAATCCCAGAAGGAGGCCCATCATGACTTGCATCATCTGAAGTCCTGACTCAGGAAATTGCCGTGCCATAGATGGGGCCATATCAGCGTTTCACTGTGCTGTGTCTCGGCAGCCCAGCGTTGGGTCAGAGATACCTAGTGGGACCGTACGATGTTTACGGTTGGAGGTAAGTCTTCTAGTATCACTACAACCAGTTTGATTTTTTCACCATGAATATGTGAGGGAGTGTTTCCAATCTGAAAGCAGAATTAAAAATGCAGATCCCCAGCCTCTAGGACGGCTCGCCCATACCTCCAGCCTTTCTGCCTGATGTTTATGCCCTGGCCCACAGCCAGTGGCGTCTGAATCAAGAGGCATCGCCCCTGACGTTCCCCGTCATGGAGCCTGGGCATGCAGCACTCCTGCCTCTTCACTAAATGCATTTGCACATGGCGGGGGGTGTGGCCAGCACCTCGCAGTTTCTCCAAGAATGTTGCTCTGATTGGTAGTAAACGGAGTCCTGGGGGCCTGCCCCGCCCCTCCCCTTAGATGCCCTCTGTCCTGCCCCAGCCATCGATCTGTGGGTCATCAATCAACAAAGTCCCCCGCACCCTGCGGGGCAGGGGTGTGGAGAACGCAAGCAAAGTCAAGCCATGCACAGAGCACTCTTGGGGTTTACTGGACTCAGACAGCTTGTCAGATCTGAAAACTCATGAGGGATTGTTAACTCCTCAGAGGTATACGTAGTTCTGGGAGGGGTCATGTGAACAGGAGTCCTCCTACCAAGCTTTCTGCACTGAGGTCCTGGTGCCAGTGTGGGTGGAGGTGACATGGTGGCAACATGGGCTGAGGGCACCGATGGCCTGGGGGCATCTGCAGGCAAGTTCTCCATCGGGGTCACCTGCACACAGTGCCCTCCACTGGGGGCATATGGGGGCACATCTCTCCACTGGGGACACTTGGGAGCACATCTCTCCATTGGGGGGACACTTGGCACATCTCTCCATCGGGGGACACTTGGGGGCACATCTCTCCATCGGGGGACACTTGGGGGCACATCTCTCCATTGTGGACACTTGAGGGCACATCTCTCCATCACGGGCACCTGTGGGCAAAACTCTCTTGGGAGCTATGCCTGGGGCTTCAGACACAGGGTGACATCTGTGTCACTTTCTCCCAGGACCACACATGGGATCATGCTCCATGATGAGTTTACTCAGAATTTAGGGTTTCATAGATTTATTTCTTCTCCACTTGAAAATATTATGGACAATACAAACACTAGAAATGTTTGTTAACCTAGTTTACTTTAAGATATCATTTTGTCGTAAAATTTTCAGGTTATTTAAATAGGCATTCATCGGGGCGCCTGGCTGGCTCAGTCGGTTGAGCGACTGCCTTCGGCTCAGGTCATGATCCTGGAGTCCCGGGATCGAGTCCCGCATCGGGCTCCCTGCTCAGCGGGGAGTCTGCTTCTCCCTCTGACCCAACCCCCTCTCATGCTCTCTCTCTCTCTCTCTCATTCTCTCTCTCAAATAAATAAAATCTTTAAAAAAATAAAATAAATAGGCATTCATCTTCTGTATTTGGAAAAAGGTTGAACTTCCTATGAAGACTAATCCGTAAACAAATGGAAAAGACCAGGTACCGAAGGGTGCAGCTGCGTTAGTTCAACCTACAGGGGAGACCTGCGCCAGCAGACGGTGCCTTTCTTCCAGGACCGCCCTCTCTAGGCTGCCGGTGGCCTCCTAGGAGACACCTGCCGAGCAGGTGATCTGCCACGTCATCCAGCCGCCTGCCTGATGGCTTCTTTATGGCTCACCCAACAGCCTTCAGAAATCAGGTCCGCTTTCTTCTGAAGATTTAAACGAAGCAGTGCTCAGCCGTGGTTTGCCTGCAGCCCCACTGATCGCATAGCTCCTGTCCTGTGCACTGATGGTGACTAATGATGTCACTAACGTGGCACTCCTCAAGGACTGTGGTAGCTCAGAGAGCTTAACTGAATGTACGGCCGTCTCATGATGAGCCTGGGATGTTGGTAGGTGGGAGGGTTGGGCAAAAGTCATTAAGAGAGGGGAGAAGGTTCCAACAGAATCCTAAGAGATTGTAACTTCTGAATAAATTAGGTGTTTTTCTCTAGGTTGGTATGAACATTCAGTGGCAACCTCAGAAATAATAACATAATTTCATTTCCCTTTTCTAATTTGAAATCAGGGTTGAAAATGTTTTTAGAACATAAGACATGTGTAGCGAGAGGTCTGTATGCAGCTAGTTGGCCTCCGAGGGGCTGCCCGCATGGTGATATTCAAGCAACTCAGAACAGCCGATCCATGCCCACAGGAGACAGCACGCCTGCCGTGAGGCATAGGTCCTACCACTGGTCCTTCCTCTGGGGAATGCTCGGCCTTCTTTTCAAAATGCAAGTGTCTGTAAAGGGCTGATTGCCATACTGTCATCAACATTGTTGCTACCTTGGTATGACTTGGCAGATTGCTTTTCAGTGTCCTCTGGGAATGTGTGGGACGCAGACGTGTGCGTTCTGTTGGGTGTGACACACCGAGGAATCCTGGTCTTGTGGGAAGGGGAGATGGAGCAGAGCCAGAAGCCGTGGGGGAACTTAGGGACGTGGGTGAAGGCACCACTGCCCCATGCTGCAGTTCAGAATCACAGGGGGGTGGAATGAAGGGACCAGCCATCATCCCAACTTCCTGTGACTTTATACACAGGACAAGGGGACACGTAGGAAAGGAGAGTGACAACACAGGCTACCGACAGGCCCTTGACCATGTCCAAATGTCTGGTTCAGATGCATGTTTCATTGATTTTTTTTTCTGATTAAAAATTAGCTCTCATTACAGAACATTGAGAGAATACAGAGAAGCATCAAGAATAAAATCAGGGCGCCTGGGTGGCTTAGTCGGTTCAGCATCTGACTCTTTTTTTTTTTTTTTTGCAACTTCTAAGATTTTATTAACATGAGTTTCTAAAAACAAGCATCCATACCAGTGTGGGGGTGAGGGTGGGAGAGGAGAGGAGGGGGGAAGAGGAGAGGGGAGGGTAAGGCAGGGCACCTGACAGGGGGAAGGAATTCTGCTCTATTGGTAATAAAGCTCCAGGTTCATCCCATCATGGATTTCATAGTCCCCCAGAGACACATGGTCCTTAAAAATCGTGTACCACTTCTTCAGGACAATCTTGTTCCAACGGGTGCCGGTTTGGGCTGCGATCAGCTTCTTAAGGTCCCCGACGGTGTCATCAGTGTTGCACTTAACACAGACCTTCTTCCCTAGACGGTCGTTGCAAACCACCTCGATCATCCTGTCTGGAGCTCGAAACGCCTGGAACCCGCCGACGCCACAACCTCCTTGCTCAAGGGAGGAGCCGGGGTCCCAGCATCTGACTCTTGATTTCAGCTCCGGTCATGATCTCAGGTCCTTGAGCTCGAGCGCCACGTCGGGTTCTGCGCTGGGCATGGAGCTTGCTTAAGATTTTCTCTCTCCCTCTGCCCTTCCGTGCCCTCTAAAAATAAATAAATCAAAACCCCATGAAAGATGGTTACCCAGCAGAGACCAGCAGCATGGAAATGACCTTTCAGAACAGCAGGCTGGGCAGCTGGAGGGTCCAGGTGGTCCCTCTGTCCTCTGACACCCTCCGCGAGCCTTGCTTCCTGACCTCTTTCTCTGCACTCTGTGGCTGGGTGTCTAAGGCATCGCCTCTGCTGCTTCTCCATGTTCAAGGACAGAAAGAAAGCGGCCGTCCTGGGCTCTATCCCGCGAGTGCTGCTCATGTCTGTCCCCAGGCAGTGTCGTGCAGCCCACCCACTTAGGGGAGCCCTGATGCACCACTCAGTGTAATTGTTACAGTGGCCATTTTATTTTTTTAAATTTTTTAAAAGATTTTATTTATTTATTTGACGAAGAGAGACACAGCAAGAGAGGGAACACAAGCAGGGGGAGTGGGAGAGGGAGAAGCAGGCTTCCCGAGGAGCAGGGAGCCGGATGCGGGGCTTGATCCCAGGACCCTGGGACCATGACCTGAGCTGAAGGCAGATGCTTAACAACTGAGCCACCCAAGTGCCCCACGATCACCATTTTAAAATCCCAAAAGCTACCTTGATTTCAAAAAACGCCCTGTAAATTCTTAGTTTTAAGATAGTTTTGTAAGAGTAAGGCACAACAGAAATGGCAAAAAATGTTCTAATTCTACTTTTTAAAGGTATTTAATCAAAATAACTTCATCTTCTAGATTATTCTTTAGATCCTGTGGAATACGCGATGCCACATTTTCGTGAGCATCCCATTTTAATCGTGGACTGATTGAGATTTTTAAAAAGAGTTTATCTGGAAATGCCAGGGCAGCTTATATATATCCCAGCAGCACTCCTGCCAAAAGAGTTGTTTCTTTACCGAAAGTGTTGTGCTTCATGGATTAAGACCCTCACGCGGTGAAGGAACGTGAAGTAGATTTCTTGCTTTATTGTCCAGCCTGGTTTCTTGCTGCCGATTTTTCAAAACGAAGCTATCGGTCTCAATATAATGCCAATCCTACCTTGACTCCAAAAAAGCTCTGCTATAAATACTTCTTCTCTTTCATTTCTTTCTTTTTGCACTTGAAGTAGATGTTCGGCCTTCCTATGAAAAGGAATGTTTCTAATCTTCAAGCATCGCTTGTAGTGATAGTCCTCAAGTGTTACTCCAGAGAGTACCTTGCTGTGAGAGGGAGCGATCTGCTTCACTCCACGGTATGTAAAACATACCCAGCAAAATCCTCTTGGGGTGCACTCGATTCTGCGGTGGCAGAAGGGCAGCAAATATCTTTAGTTTCATTATCAGAGAAACTGAATCATATCTGTCCATCAGATGAAATTAGGGAATGAGGGTCAAAGGTGTGGACTTGACAAGACTTTTACTAATGTACCCAGCTATTCCTTTATAATTGCCCTTTGCCTTCTCTGGGGTGGCAGGGGGTGGGGGTGCTCCTATGTAGGGTCCCTCTTCTCCCCACTGCTGGAGGTCTTCCCATGGAGGAGGAGACTGCGAGGAGCTATCTGCACCCACCCAGAGGGGTGAGGGTCAGTGTAGGGCTCCCAACGTGTAAGGGACCAGGAGTACTGGCCAGACGCCCTGGGCAACCTCAGTGTCCATTGTCTGGACAACCTAAGAGGGCTCTGGGGGCTCGCAGCTGGTGCAAGCAGGGCCTGGGAGGAGCTCCAGGCTGACCAGACATTGGGCTGACAGCAACAAGACACCTTCTAGAAACTGCTCTAGAAACCATGCCCATGAGGAAAGGCGCTCCAGTCTCTCCGCCTTGGTCAGGCCGCCTGATCATGACCTGGCCTAGTGAGGTGAGTTGGGCTGGGCGTAGCAGAAGATGGCCCAACTGCTGCTGCCTTGAAGGACGACACTGGTGGCAACTGCATCCAGGTTCTAGAAGCTTCACCATATGAGCCATGGGGCTTTTGCTGTAAGTGGTATCTTCACATGTTCCCTTTTCTGGAATGTGACTCCCAGCATCTCAGAAAACAAGCGAGGTCTTAACTCTAATACTGGCAATGGAGCAAGACGCCCACCCCATCTAAACCCTAGGTGGTTCCTTGGGCCTTTAAACGCCAGTAGCACTGGGGGCTACAGAATCCACTCACATTTTCATTAGCGGTCTTGTTGATGATGATGACGTTGATAAAATACACACACATAGAAATTACTATGGCAACCACTGTAAAGTACACAGTTCAGGGGCATTACGTTCATGGGAATGTGCAGCCATCACCGGCATCCATCTCCAGAACATTTTCATTATCCCAAACTGAAATTCTTGCTGTCCTGTTTTATGAATGATTTCTTCTGTCCTACTGCGTATTGCCCAATAGACGGTAAATCTCTTGAGAACAGGAGAGTGTTCATAGGCCCCAGCACGTGTCCCATTTGCAATGGGAGCTCCAGTGAATATTTGATGTGACTGTAGTACGTGTCTTTGTGGAAGTCTGCTTAGCTCTCAGCTTTTCAGCCTCCTCAGCCACAGAGTCCCTGTGTGTTAAACTTGACCACAACTCCCAGGCTGTAGCTGATTGCGTCAGCACTGGGCCCCTGACCAACAAGGACCAGTCACGGTCACTCTTTAAGGCCTCCACTTGGGACAGTCTAACTTATTTCAGAATGTGATGGGAAGTGTAACATTGAACTGAAAAGATGTAGAGTCCCTAAACTTGCTGATAGATGGGACTCTGAGATGGGGTGGAAAAGAAAGACTGTGTGTGTGAGAGCGTGTGTGTGAGAGCGTGTGTGTGAGTCTGTTAGCAAGTGTGTGTGAGAGCGCGTGTGTGAGAGCGCGTGTGTGAGAGCGCGTGTGAGAGAGCGTGTGTGAGAGCGCGTGTGTGAAAGCGTGTGTGTGAGAATCTGTTAGCAAGTGTGTGTGAGAGCGTGTGTGTGAGAGCGCGTGTGTGAGAGCGCGTGTGAGAGAGCGTATGTGAGAGAGTGCGTGTGAGAGAGGTGTGTGTGAGAGTGTGTGTGAGAGAGCGTGTGTGAGAGAGCACGTGTGTGAGCGTGTGTGTGAGAGCGCGTGTGAGAGCGCGCGTGTGTAAGAGCGCGTGTGTGAGAGCGCGCGTGTGTGAGAGCGCGTGTGTGAGAGCGTGTGTGTGAGAACGTGTGTGAGAGCGTGTGTGTGAGAGTCTGTTAGCAAGTGTGTGTGAAATAAATGTGTGAGTGTGTGTAAAACAGAATGCATACATGTGAGGGTGTGAGAATGTGTGTGAGAACTCTGTGTAAAACGGAATTGTGAGTGTGAGTGTGAGAGTGTATCAGAGAATGTATATGTGAGATAGTGTGTATCTGAGAGTATGTGTGAGTGGAAGTATGAAACTATTAGAGAATGCATGTATGAAAGGGTGTGTGCATGAGAAAATGTGGACTGTGCATGTGACAGTGGTTGTGAGAGTACGTGAGAGAATATCTGAAACAGAATCATGTGTTGAATGTGAGAGAATGTGTGGAAGTATGGGTGTGAGAATGTGAGATACTATGTGTGAGAATGTGTGAGAGTATGAGTGTACATAGAAATGTGTGAAATATGAGCATGTGTGCAAGAATGTGCATGAGAATGTGGAATTGTGAGAGGCTATATGTGTGAGGGTTTGTGTGAGGGTATGTGTGAAAGTGGTTATCAGGGTGTGTGAATCGTGAGTGTATGTGTTGAAATATGTGAGAGAATGTGTGTGTGAAAGAGTATGTGCTTGTAAGTGTGAGGATGTGTGAGAATATTGTGTGAGAGAGTGTGTGTGTGATTATGGAAGACAATGCGAAAGTGAAAATCTGTGAGCGTGTATTTGAAAGAATGTGTTAGAGTGCATGTGAAAGTGCAAGACTGTGTGTAAGATCATGAGAGTGAGGGAGTGGTAATGTGGGAGCAAATGCGTGCGAGAGGTGTGCAAGAGAGAACGGATTAGAGTGTGTTTGAGAATATGCGAGTGGGTTAGAGGATGCATGTGAAAGTTGTGTGTGCGAATGTCAGTGTGAGAGTGTGTTGAGACTGTGAGTGTATGTAGGAGAGTGGGCTATGAGTGTGTGAGTGGTTGTGAGTTTGTGTTTGTGAGATTGTGTGTGATGGAGAACATGTGAGGGAATGTGTGGAAGAATGTGAGTGTGAGACTATGTGAGTGTGTATATGAGAGTGAGTTTGTATGTCAGCAAAGTGTGGCAATTAGCCATTTCTTCTGATACTTATCCCACTATTTCTTAATATCATCTCTTCTCACAATTTTTTGTTTTTCCCATGATTTTGACTCTTTATTCTTCTATTTTGCCAGAGCACATCTCTGGGAGACTTGCAGACACCAGGAGACTGGTGTGTTCAAACATCTTTGCTCTGTCATGCCCCAAAACAGTCAATTTAGAAATCCAGTCCTAGATGTGATTGTTTCCCCTTAGAATTTGGACATTGGTCCATTTTTGGCTTTGGAAGTCCAATGCCATTTTGATTTCTGAAATTTTTAAAAGTGGCCTGTGTTTTTTCTTTTTTCTTTCCTCTGGGGAAATCCTGGGATCCTGCCTCTATCAGCACTGTTCTTAAATTACATGGGCAGGACCTGATGGAAGTCCATTCATTAGGTAGATACTTGGTGGGTTCTTTCAATTGTGGAACCTCATGTCCTTCAATTTGGGGAAATTTCCTGGGGTTATCTTTTTTTAAGATTTTCTTTATTTGAGAGATAGAAGTAGTAAGAGAGCATGAGTCGGGGCAGAGGCAGAGGGAGAAGCAGACTCCCCGCTGAGCAGGGAGCCCCACATGGGGCTCGATCCCAGGACCCCGAGATCATGACCTGAGCTGAAGGCAGACACTTAGCCAACGGAGCCACCCAGGAGTCT